TTTACCCTTTTACTTCATCCTAAGCAGTAAGAGTTTGTGAAATAATGAATTCATGATTTTTATTCATGATACTTTTTGAATATAAATTGAACATATATTATCACTAATGTCAAAAGATGCTTTCCTATATATCAACAGAAATCTGTCCTGACCACATTTGGGACACTAAACCAGAAATGAATGAAAATGCAGGGATGACAACATTGGTGTGAAGAAAAATTTTCAAACAATTAGAATGTTCTGAAAGTTAGTAAGCTTCTTGCCACTAGAGATGAAAGGCAAGATTGGACAATCATTTTACAGGGTTGTTATAGGGGAAACATATGCATTAGAAGTTTGCATTACTAGATTATCTTGAAAGTTTTTACCAGCACTGAGATCCCTGATTTTAAGGCCTGTGTGGATTCTAATTAGTTATCACTGAGTTAATGTTTTGGAGAAAAAAATTTTAACTCACCCTTCCATGAAAAAGCTGTAGTTGCTACTGCTTTCTAAATGAAGTACTTTATGAAATGAATAACTCTTTTAAATTCAGTAAAGTTTTTAATAAATAAAGCCTAATCATTTATTTAATCTCTTTCAGTTTCACTCCTCTAAAGTTTCATTTTAACTTCTTTCCAAAAAAAGAAGACACTTGGGCCAGGGATTTAGCTCAGTGGTTCTGTCACCTGCCTTGCAAGCGCAAGGTCCCAAGTTCGATCCCCCATACCAAAAATAAACCAAAAAGAAGACACTTTCAATCTCAAACTCAGATTGTTTTCTAAGAGAGAAGGCTAACAAATCAGTAGAGGGCATGAACATTTTAATTCTTTTGGAGTTAGGAAGATTTCATTTCATAATAGTTCATAGAATTAAACCTGGGCTACACTCATTTTTTGAGTCTCCATCTTGTTTTTACTTACCATTTCTTTTAAAAATAACAACTGCAACATTCCTCAAAAAATGAGAATGGCCTATACAAGATCTCCTCTCTCTCCCTCTCTCTCTCTCTCTCTCTAGCTCTCACTCTGAAGAAAAGGAGAAATTTATAGCTTTTAGTAGTTGTGAAAACCAAGAAATAATAGAGAAATCATGCATTCTGCAGGAATTCTCCTGGGTGTATTAAATTAAATTGACAGCATTGATAACGCTATTCATGTTGAAATAATTAGCAATTCTAAGGCTATTAATGGTGTATTGTATCACTGTTTTAGAATTGGTAGGATGAATGCAAAAACCTTTTGGTGACTTTTGCTCCTACTAATATTTAATTAGCCTTAGTTACTGACCTCATGTTTTATGTAACAGTACACTCCAAAATGATCTCATAAAGAATTGAAGTTTTGGAAGTAAGTCATTCTTGCTTTAAAAACTAGCATCACATAAAAGTTCTCTGAGTGTTTTTTAACTACTTTTGCAAAGTATTCTTATAATTGCTAACATTACCTTTGGGACTGACTGACTTTGAATTTAATTGAAGTAAAAATGCATCTCTTTGACAAGGTCACTTTTAAAGTGGAGCTGCACTACTTTGCATTACACTCCTGATTTTTTTTCTTTCTAAATTAACTATGATCTATAAAATTATCGATAAAGAATAATACCTAGGCCATCAAATATTAATAATGATTACAAGAGAGGAAAACTACCTTTAATGCACATAAAATTTATGGATGGTAATGATCTCTACCTACTAAATCTGGAAGAGCAAGTCTGTGCAGCTGGGGGTGGGCAGTACAGTGGGATGCAATGGAAAGACCTGAGTCACAACAACTATGCTTCATAAGAGATTTGAAATTATGAAGGCTAAACTAGTAAAAATCACACCAGGGCTTAAAACAAAACAAAATAGGAAGTATTGCACATGAGATGGCAGTGGTAGTGGTGTTTGTAGTAGAGGAAAAGGAGTTGGTCCACCAAGAATTTCATGTGGCTTAGTTGGAGTTCTTTTGTAATATTTGTGATTGAATATTACTCTGAGATCATATTTGGCAAAGACTATTTATTCTGTATTACTACCTTATCTTTCTATGACAATTTCTTAGTTATTGGACTTTCTGTTCCCTTAGAAAGTTCCTACTAAATATATCCTTCCAAATTCTGAGGAAAAAGCGAAGGATGTGCCAATCATCCCTCTGGGAGTCAGTTGGCTCTGAACCTTACTCTGAACTTCCTCTTGATCTAAGCCAAAATGACCCTGATCAGATGAAGTAAGAATAAGAGCTCAGTACCTTGAGGGTTCAATTTTTGCACTACATGCAACTCTTTTTCATGAAACTTTCAGTTCTTAAAGACCTCTTATTTCTAGCATATAATTTTTTTATGATAGAAGACATAGGGAGATTTGTAGTGGTGGGGTTTTCTTCATTGATAGTATTCATAAATATCACCGAGGCAGGATGGATTACAGAAAGAGTAATTAACTGTGAGTGACAACAGTGTTAGCTTCATGGAGTGGGAACAGTAGCATGATGGATTTAAAAAAGCATGAGAGACACATGTAAAAGTAAAAGCAAACACTTGGTTCAAGGTTCAACTGATTATGAGATGCGAATAAGGACAGATCACTAACTTCCTATGAGCTGCAGTTTTTTTGGCCATGAAATAGAATTAGTATATACTGAATCACAAAACAAATGAGATAATAGATAATAAAATCTGGAAATCTAAGAACTTGTACATATACAAGTTGCTGTTATTAAGAGAAGTAACTCAGCTTTGCCATGTTAGCCCATGTTTCTCACTTGGGGTTCTCTAAATTGGGACACACAGGCTACACAGACATATCCCCCTTCTGGCTCCATCCTATCTCCCCACAGAAGAGAGGACTGTACTAATCCTATGTGTGACCAAGTAATCAATTATGCCCACGATTCATATCACATCACAACAATCAATGGACCTATACTGACTGCCTGCTCTATGTGGAGCAGTATGTTAGGCCTTGTTGAATTGGAAACAAAAAAAGGTAATGAAAAGAAAAAGGAAATACTATATAATCTTCCAAAGCTTCCTTATTGACATAGTTTAGGCATGGGTGAACACCTAGAGAGTGTCCTTTGGCTTGGTATATTTTTTCCTAAGTATTCTTCAGCTTTTTCATGTTTCATGTTTCATTTTTTCAAAGGTTCTAACCATAGAGTGGCACAAAGCAAGGAAAAAGAATGGCCTGGTGTAACAAGGACCCATGTCATAGTCTTTCTCAGGGCTTTGTTTAATCTTACAAGCATATACTTTCCACTTGCTTCTCCTCCATATACTTGCCCAATAAATAACTATAGTTGGTGTAATGTAGACATGAGAAGCAATCAGCCTTTTAGAAGCATAAGTACTAAAATAAAATTAAAGCAAAACTAAACTCTGTTAGAAAGATGTTAAGTGTTTCACAAATGTCCATCCAATAAGATAGGGCTTCCTGAAAAGGATGGATTTTTATGTAGAGATTTTGAAAAGTCACACATATGTATTCCTAGTTTCTTGGCTATTTATTTATTTATTTATTATTCTCTAAGGGAGAGCAGGGGTTATTTGATTTTTATCATAGATACAATACAGTATTAAAGGCTAAGAACTTTGGTTTTGTAATATGCAATAAGACCTTGGGAAGCTCATTCTCTTGAGTTTCAGTTTTTCTACTTTAAAATAAGAATTCCATGTGCTCTATGGAGAATAACTGCATTGAATTTTTCACGAGGGAAAAATATTACAAAGATTAATTGTTTGCTTCTGTTAATATCTTAGAACCAATATTTAAAATACTTGTAAAAACAAAACTTGTCAACCTTCTTTGATTATAATATTTTCATAATCATTACTCTTTTCTATATAAACTGAAATTGAGCCATGAGAAAATCTACTATACATGAGAAAGACTTATGATGAGAGTTGGCCCTTGACAAACAGCAGTCTATAGCCCCAAGACGTGCAAAGGAGTATTCAACCAAAGAGAGAAAGATTTTCTACCTCGTCCTGGAGGTCTGCTCTTCTACTTTTATTGCAAATTTTCTAAATCTTCTATTAATTAAATCTAAATGATTACATAAGTTAGCTACTCAACTACAGTGTTTAAAATTGCCTTCCAGTTATATTTCTGAACTACAGCCTCTCAAACTGCTCAAAATGAACAAAGAATTCCTTCAAAGAAAAGCCAATCTCTCTGAGGTCTTTCCCATAGAATGATCAAGAACGATGTCTTCTTTAATGAAAGTGTGATGTAATACAATGTAACTCAAGAAAATATTCAAGAAGTTATCTGATACAGAGATTTACTGAAAAAAAAAGAACATCTGAGTAAAAAGTCATGAGGATTCAATATCCTCAAAATTTCTATGAGTTTTCAAATATCAGAATTTACCTCTCCTCAATGCCATAGGATGAAAGAAATGCTTTTTTTTTTTTTTTTTACTTTTTTCCATGAATTTTAGATGACAACTTGAAAAGGTATTTTTTGAATTGACAGCAGCAGTGGTAAAATCCCATCCTCTAACCCTGTCCTCAAACAAAGTCAGGGAAAGCTCTTGAAAGTGGTTTATTTTACATGATAGCCCCAGGTTAAGCCAAAATAATCCAGGAGGAGGAAAACAACAATCATAACAACAAAAAAATTCCCACAGGGAGCTGCACAGCCCAGATGCCCAGCCGGTCCATGGGATCTTAATGAGGGTCAGAGGTCAGTGCTAAGGAGCCTGGTGAAACAGTGAGAACCAAGATCCTGTTTCCATTTTAATGCCCTTATGTTTATGTTTTGCTTCTAAAGGGGAAAGGCCCAGACAATTCCACTTCCAGGGAGGCCAGAGGAAAATGCACTGGATGTAGTAGTTTGACAGAAAAACAAAGGTGTTTCAGGAGTCTAAGGGTAGGCTCAGTTCACAGAAGTGCAGAACTGCCAAAACCTGTACCTAGCGTAACATTCTCATTCAGCCCTGGGCTAAAATTAAAGTACATTATGAAAATAAAGGTCATTGTTTTCAATCTGTCCCTTCACCTCTCCACCCACACACCTCCAGAGAAGGCTAACGGTGTTTAAATTTAGCAGCAATGTTGGTTACATAACAGCCATGAGCCAGCTCAGCATCCCAGTCTCCCCATTTGTCACGCCTGACCTTCCTATCATACTCTGATAAACTTCAGTCTGTCACAGCTGCTTACTTTGTTTATCTTAGGAACTGACATTATAGTTTACCATTAATTTAAAATTACCTGCTCTCTTGGCCACTAACTTTAGTAAAAACTTGTATTTGTCTCCGCAGCAAAATTTTCTCCTCTGGGCAAAATGCTGGGCCATCACCCAGCAACCCTTAAAGGGCCATCCTTTATTCACCCTTTGAACCTCTGTTGACCTTTGAAATTAGATCCACATCAGTATCTCATGTAGTTCCTGAGTTTATCACTTTTAGATAACTTTAACTTCTGGTTTCCAGGCTGGGCCCATCTGGGAATCCTGAAACAACAAGTGTATGTTCATCCTAGACAGAAGTTCAATGGGGAATGGAAATGTCACTATCTTTTTTTATCTTAGCCTTGCCCAATGTCCTGGATGGGATTTAGGAGCACTGAGCTTAACAGACTATCTTGTGGTTGAATAGATGAGAGAAAATGGCACGACAGCCTTACCCAACAGAGAAGATAGTGTGGTTGTTTAGTCTAAGTCTACTATTGAAAATGAAATAAGGCACGGGTCCTAAAGGTTAGCAATCACTAAAAAAGTCTAATGAGAGCTTACTCTGTGCAAACCCTGAAATGGGCACTTTACATGGATCCTCTCTTTGAATCTGTTTAACAGTCCTACAAGAATAGTTAGCTATTTTTCCCATCTTATGGATAAGGAAACTGAGGGTAGATAATCTCTACAGAACTAGAAATGGCTACAGCCAGGCTTCAAACCCAGTCTCATTCCAGAGCCAGCAGCATGTTCTGTTTGCTATAGCATTCTGTTAACATATGTGTGGGTGCCAGGATCTCCTGAGGAGCTCTGATACTTTTTTCCTCAACCACCTCCACCACTACCCAGCAAGATCCCATTTTCTAAGGCAGGTTGGGTTACAGACATTTATAGACATAGAAAAAAAAGTATCCCATATCCCATTCAGGTAGCTTGAAACAGAGGATTGAAACCACTGACATATATATAACAATGTAGGTCAGTAGATTTTGTGAATCTATAAATGTTTTTATAATCAATAGGCTCCTTGTGGATAGGGAATTCGTCTTAAAAATCATTTCATTATTTTTTCACTCTTTCATTGAACAAATCTACTAATGCCTACAATATTCCACATGCAACAAAAGCCTTTCATAAGCATCAGGCAAGAACTTGGGGACACAGAGCTTAAAGACCAGCTCTATGACTTCCTGTAACATCACAGGGTCCACAGTGGGCATTCAAACAGCAACTACTGACTTGTTAAGGTAGGGCAGAACAAGAGAGATGTAATAAATACAAATTTAAAGGTATTTCTTTAGCCTTATAATGATTATTTGAGTTAGACAAGATTAAAAACTTACCCTTTTCATTGTTAATTACACAAAAGATTTTATATTCTGCCTCTACCCATTCAGTACCATTAGTATAACCTCCTCTCCATACTCAATAAACTTGCTTCTATGTAGTTTGAAGCAAATACATAATATTACCTGCTCTTCAGTGGGGAATAGGTTCTCGTTTTTCTTTTACTGGTGATGTGATGGGTCTTTACTCAATCCTTTTGAAATCCTTTGAAAAATGGCAGTTCAGATTGGCCTTGTCCCTAACCAAAGCCTCGCATTCCAGGCTGTTTTATTTCAATCTTCTTTATAGCCATGAATCAAGCATTTCTGTTACTGTAACCAAAAAAGCAAACAAAGAAATGAGATTTAGTGTTTGTTACCCTAAAGTTATAGTTTGCACACTAAAAATTTTTTATAAATTTTCATGGAATGTGTCTTGGTTCCTATGACTGGTCTTGATTTCTATGCTTGCTAAACAGGAACTGCCCCTGCAGCAATCATTAAGTAATTTAAAATTTCAGACATACAAAATGTTGATCTAAACAAACTACCTTACCCCAGAGCATACAGTTGAGATGACTTAAAGTATATTTTTCTTTCATTAGATAAAATATCACCTCTTCAGTGATCAGTCCTATTACCAACTCAAGTTTGTACCATCCTAGATTTATTTTTCCTAAAATAATCATTTAAAATTATATTACTAATAAATAACTCCATAAAATGAAACAAATTTCCAATCTCACTTTATCCTTTATAAGTTGGTATCCTTCTAAAATACATACTTATTTCAGGAATTTGCCACAATTTTTGTATAAGAAAAAAAAGCCAATACAGAATTTGAGAGTAATAAATCAAAAGTAACAGATTTATAGTAAACATTTCCCAAAAAGTCAAGTCCTCCTTGGGGTGATTAAAATAGGTGATGCCTCTGGAACCCAGGGTAAAATCTGTTGTTTAACACGGAACATAGCTATGAACTTGGGAAAAATTGAGATGAGGTCAAAAGCTTGACTTCTCTTTGAGACACTCTTTTTTCAGAGTGAAAATAAAAGATACATTTACAGAGAATATGTTTGTGCTTAAAGACCTTTATAGGCAACCTATGAAGGAAAGAGCATTGTTAGTAAAAGAATTTTTTTTAAAAGGCAGAAATAGTCATATGGCCGTTGACCTTAACCTCAAAAGCCACTAAACACCAAGTAAACCGCAGCACAGTCTTAGTGATCTATCTGAACCAGGGAGTGGAAACTGGGTCCAAGAACTTTCTCACTTTCTCAGTCAGACTATAAACTAAGATACTTGTATTACCTTTGGAATGGTTTCTCTTTCCAAACACTATTTGTCAATCAAGTAGGAACACACCACACATGCTTACGGGTCTGTAAAGGAAAACTTTGTGTAGAACTGAATAGCAGCCAATCAAGGATCCATTGTCTATTCCTTTAATGTTGTCTGCTTACTAAACATCAGGAAAACAAGACAGCTATGGTAATGAAAGTAGTATCATGAGACATGAGACCACTGGAACTGTGTCTTAATATGGTAATATTTGCTCAATAAAACATTTTATGAACTGCACTTATATCCAGATTTTACTTCCTAGTTACACTAGACTTGAAAGTTAAATTCTAACCAAAAAAAACAAGGAGTGGCAAATTTGTGATTATTTTATTTTAACATCTGAATTTTCATTTATTTCTTTTGATCTCTTTGCTGTTTTTTATGAAAGGATCAGAACGCCTAGCTTCTAGAGAAAATAATCACTAAAATTGAATTTTTCAAATTATCCATGGCTCCAGTACAGTCAGATGTTTTAGAGTTATTTTATACCCAGGGATAGTATGCATTTCACTATATGTTTGTAAAGAATAAATTTGGAGTGTGGGACAAACTCCTTAAAAATAAACTAGTCCATTTTAAGCAAATGGCTGTTTTGAAAGTTAAACACTTTCTGTCCTCTGAAGCTATGAGGACCCTTAACACCTTAGTCATTTCAGATAATTTATGGTGTTTGGGGCAATATCTTCTTCATTGTCAAAGTGATCTACTAAAAGTGTCTCAGTTTCAATTTAGCCAAAAAAAATTTACATTTCTTTTTTAAAAGGTATATTAATGAAGGGAAAACAGCTAAAATTTTCATCATTTTTTCCTCTTTATTTATTTATTAGTCCATGTTTGCAGGGCATAATATTTACATTCCTTGTGTGTGTGGAGTTGGTTCATGTACATAACACATCTTAATTCCTTTTTTCATCCCTTTCTCTCTCCTCCCTCCTCCAGTCCATCTCTTTTTTTTTTTTTTTGGTATGGGGGATCGAACTCAGGGCCTTGAGCTTGAAAGGCAGGCAGCACCACTGAGCTAATTCCCCAGCCCTTCCACCCCCTTCCTACTTGAGAAAGATCAATCTCCTCACTGCCCATTATCTATCTTCTATTTTGCTCTTTTTCTGGGGTTTTTTGTTTGTTTGTTTTGTTTTTTTTGGTACCGGGGATCGAACTCTGGTCCTTGTGCTTGGGCAGCAGGGGGCGAAACCACTGAGCTAAATCCCCGGCCCCTTTTGCTCTTTTTTTGTAATTTAGATTTCTTATATAAAAGAAAAACCATGCAATATTTCAGCTTGTGAGCCTGATTTATTTTACTTGCTATCATGTTCTCAAGGTGCAACCATTTTCTTAAAAATAACTCGTTTATCTTTCTTTAGGAAAGAGTAGTACTCCATTGTGTGTAAATACCATATTTTCTTTGTCCATTCATCTGTTGATGGACTTACAGGCTGCTTCCAAGATTTAGCTATTATGAATTGTGCTGATTTAAAAATGAGTATGCACATATCACTCTAATATGAAGTCTTTAACTCTTTCAGGAAAAAAGGATAATAATTGGGTCAAATGGAATTTCTAGTTTTAGTTTTTGGAGGAATCACCATACTGAGTTCCATACTGGTTGCACTAGTTTTCATTTCCACCAAAAATATAGAAGGATTCATTTTTCCCCTCAGCTTTGTCAGCACTTACTATTTGATTTCTGATGGTGGCCATTCATTTTGAGGTAAGATGGAATATGAGTATTGCTTTAATTTGCATTTCTCTAATGGCCAGAAATGTTGAACATTTTTTTCATGTATTTATTGGCCATTTGTGCTTCTTCTGTGAATTGTCTAATCATTTCACTTGCCTATTTGTTTGATTGGTTCTTTTATTTTGTGGGTCTAAGTTTCTTGAGGTCTTTTGATATTCAAGGTATTGGTCTTCTGTCTGAAGAATAGCTGGCAAAAAAATTTTTCCATTTGGTAGGTTTTCTTTTTATTCTGGATTTTTTTTTTCTTTCTGATGTCCAGAAGCTTTTTGATTTCATATGATCCCATTTGTTTATTCTTGGTAGTTTCTGCTATTCTGTTCAAAAAAAATCCTTGCCTACTTCTATGACTTTGGAGTTTTACCTATTATATCTTCTAGGAGGTCAAGGGTTTCCATTTTAACATTTAGTTCTTTGATCAATTTTTATTTTAGTTTAGTACATGGTAAGAGATATCAGACTAAATTTAATCCTCTGCTTGTGGATAGCTAGTTTTCCCAATACCATTTATTAAAGAGGCTATATTTTCTCCAGTGTTTAGTTTTGGCACTGTTGTCACAAAGCAAATATTTGAATGTCCTTGGAGTTGTTTCTGAGTCCTCTATTCTGTTCCATTGATGCTAATGCCTGTTTTTGTGCCAGTATCATGTTGTTTTTGTTACAGTAGCATTGTAATATAACTTCAAACCCAGGATTGTGGTGACTCCCACTTTGCTTTGGTTATCAGGATTGCTTTTGCTATTCTGGGTCTCTTCTAGTTCTATATGAATTTTATGATTGTTTTCTCCAGTTCTATGAAGAATTCTGTTGGTATTTTGATTGCATTAACTGTATATCAGTTTTGGTAATATACTCTTTTTGACTGTATTGGTTCTGCCTATCAAGAAACAGGGAATATCTTTCCATTTATTGATGTCCTCTTTGATCTCTTTTTTCAGAGTTCAGTAGTTTTCACTATAAAGGTCTTTCACTTCCTCAATAGGTTAATTCCTAAGTATTTAATTTTTCTTGGTGCTATTGGGAATGGTATTTTTTTTCTTAATTTCTCTCTCAGTAGATTCATTATTAGTGTAGAGGAATGCTATTAATTTTTGTGTGTTGATTTTGTATCTGGCTGCATTACTGAATTTGATTATTAATTCCAAGAGTATATTGGTAGATTTTTAAGGGTCTTCTATGCAAAGGATCATGTCATCTGTAAATAATAAAGTACTTTTCCTATGCCCCCACCCCCTTAGAATATTAAAAAGTTACCAGATCTTTAAAATAAAGTATTGAATCTGAGGTCCCAAGGGAACTGACCACAAATAATGAGGAAAAATAGGATTTGACTCCTCTGGGGCAGTTTTAGTACCAAATGATCCTATTTATGTTTGATTAATTGCTGTCTATGGTGGTCTTAATTCTAAAAGTACAGGCATTAGAAACTTCATCCACAAGGAAGCAAAGTTACTTATTTTATGAGTCTACACAAAGATTCCTATTATTATATAAATTGGGTGAAATTATAGCACTTCAGAAAGTGTGCTTTTCAAAGAAGGCAAGGCAAGTGGGCTCCTGAAAGTCTCTCAGATAGATAGCATAGTGGGAGGGAAACAGAATGCCCTTCTGTTTTCCATTAAAGTTATGTTCTGCACCACATTTGATTGCTAAACATCTGGCAGTCTTTTTTCTGATAACATATTTCGGTAAGTGGACAATGCTAAGCCTTTGAAGCTCTCCTTGTAGCTCTTAAATGTGGTGAACAAGAGAAGAAGATAAGAACTCTAGGTTTTTCCTTCCTATCTAAAGTGGCAAAAGAGGCTTATGGTCTTCCCTTATTTTCTTTATTCTTTGCAGCTCTACTATTCCCTTTGCCTTAGATATAGGAGAAACTATGGGCTATGTCATTAGAATGCTTTGCCCACTTCCATGGGAGTATGTGAAATAATTTGTAATCAGAGAAAAACCAGAATTCCAATGTTAGAAGGTCTGAAAGATTTTTCACAACCTCTGGCTCTGATAAAAACATTATGTATCATTCTAAGGAGTATTCCTTTCATTTAAACAGGCTGTTATTTCCAACAATACAATGAAAACTTCTTTCAATTAAGGATTAGTATTTTGAAGCTGGAACCATAAAGTTCAGAGACTAAACTTTACATTTGGGTAAAGATAAGAAACTGCATCTCAAAGAGGTAAAGTTACTCACTAAATGGCACGTAGTTATAGAAGAATATTTGAAGGGGGCGGTCACAAGATGCCTACAGTAAAG